ACTGACATGTCATTATCCCCACATGAATGTTAGGAAGGAGACTTACTGCTTATAGTGAAAAGCAATCTCTGCTATTGATTTCCTTCTCTGGCGATATACTTGGTCAGAGTAGCCCTGTGGTGACAGACAGGGACAGAGACAGGACTTTTAATCAGTTGCTAAAGTTTCTCACCCAGGAAAATTCATCCCTGGCTGGAGAGACGTCTCTCAAGGTGGCAGTGGCACTCCAGCCCCCTGATCAGCTGCACTAAGGGGTGTTCTCAGCTCCTGCTCCTGTGGCACAGCTCAGGAGCTCAGCGTGACGGGCTGCGCACACAGGCGGACTCACCGGGTGATCCAGATCCAAGTCGGGGTCAAACTTGGTGACCAGATGGTGGCACTTGTCCAATTCGCAGATTTTTCTGGGAAACCAGTGAACTATGGGGAGAGAGAAAGTGACAGCCTGTCTGTGGAAGTGAAGATCCCCTAAAGAGAAGGGGCTCTGAAGCTGGATAAGATACACCTCATCTGGCGTACCAAATGCACACATACAACATGGCACAGCTACTTCTAGGCAGTAGTTTCACAATTCCAGCACTCTTTTCCTAGAGTCATGTCTAATGCCATGATCTGCATTTCATTACTTCCTTGTACATCTCTCAGCAGAGTATTTTGTGGCAAAATTAAAGAAGATGATGAAAATTGGATTTTACTAAATGATTCATGTTAAAAACACCCAGAGATCCTGCTGGTCATAGATCTCTAGGGATAGTCTCCCACAATATTATTCTATATTAATCATCCTATCTTTAAAACAGGATGGCACAGGAAGTGTCTCGTAGATTAGTGCTGGTATCTATACAGAGGACCTAACACGTAGGTAGGAAACTACTTTATAGTATTTATAATACAAAATACAATACTACTGTATTTATAATACAAAATGCTGGAGTAGGGATGGAGAACTCATGAGGATAGGTGTGAGCAAAGTATGAATTTCAACCTCCTATTTCTATTTTTTTTTTTCAATTTTTTACCAGAAGAAAGGGCTATGAACAATGGAGTCTGTTGAGAAAAGGACAAGGAGGGAAATTACTTTCAGAATTCAGGTACTCCAGAGGCAGTCCCTTCTAGTTTGCTCAAATTCAGCACACAATAGCCCTTTCCCTTTACTGGGAATAACAAAGCCTCCACCCTGTTTCTACAGGGAGAGCTTAGCCTCTCCACACAACTGAAAATGTTTTTAAGTTCCTTACATTTGTCTTCCTTAGTGGTCCTCACATCTTCTGCTACCCTCTTGATGGAGCTAATGAAAGTATTGAGGTCAGAGCTGTGGACCTCGCAGCGCACAAAATATTCCAGCTCAGAAATCCCTTCACGAGGTTTTCGGCTAAGCCTGGTCTCCAGGTGCTGAATTTTAGCTTCAAATGTCTTTTGAGACATGGAAAGGAAGGGGGAAAAAAAAAAACATTAAGCAACATTTGAAATACCTTCTGTTACTACCCAAAGATGCCCATATGGACACAGAATTATAGAATGGTTTGGGTTGGAAGGGACCTTTAAACATCATTCCATTCCAGCCTCCCTGCTATGGACAGGGACAACTTTCACAGACCAGCTCAGAGCTCCAACCAACCAGACTTTTAACACTCACAGGCATCCACAACTCTGGGAAACCTATTTCAGTGCCTCATCAACCTCACAGTAAACATTTTTTTTCCTACTATCCGACCTAAACCTACTCTCTTTTAGTTTGAATCCATCCCCCCTGTCCTGACCCTATGTGCTTTTGTAACAAGTCCCTCTCCATCTTTCCCCTAGACCCCCTTCAGTTATTAGAAGGCCACGATTAGGTCACCCAGAAGCCTTCTCTTTTCCAGCATGAACAACCCCAGTATGGGATGGATTCCTTCTTGTTGTTTTCTTCATGCCCCCACCCAAACACACTTACCCATTAATTCCACATTTTCTCCTTCTGCACAGAGGCCGTTCAATAACTACCAACAGAAGACTTCCACCACGGCAAAGAGGACCAAGAGAAGCAGTTTGATGTGGCAGAGTGCCACGTTGCATTTTTCCACCCCAGGCACTCCCGAGGCGTTTGTTGGCGGGGCTGCCGGGCGGGAGGGCGGCGCTGGCCGTGGTGCTGAACGCGCTGCTCTGGCTTCGCTACCAGCCCTGATGTCATTTGGGCTTGCTCCAGGAACTGACCTCCCCCATGGAATAAGGGGACAAAATGATGTCTGTAGCCTCGCAAGGGGCCCTGCTGGATTTGGGGGTATTTTCTTTAGCTCAGTGAAAACTGGCAGTAAAACCCCTAGGCAATGACACAACCTTCCCAAAGTTCCTGCAGGACCTTTGGTAGACGAAGGGACATGATTTCTTTTGTTAATCAGGGGCAAACAGATGAGAAGGAACAGATGTGATGCCACAAGTAAATTAAATTTAGGATGGTGTTTTTTAATGTACCTACTAAGTTCACTATTACATTGTCCCCTCAACAATCGATACCTTTGCATTAATCTGACAGCTGTGATTGCATTACCTATGCTTCAGCTGCATGTAACACATACAGAAGAGTGAAACCAGCTTCCCTGCAGCCTGGTTCATGATGAGGTAAATGTCATTATGCCCGTCTGCTTTCATATCTTGTACCTGCATTGCCAGAGGGATCTGGGAAATGAATCTTCCTCTGTTGGGACTTGACATGCTTGTCTTTTTATTATATTTAAAGCTCTTTCTGTGACAAGTTCAAAGAGCTTTTTTGCTCCAGGAAGAAACAAACAATATTTGAACATAAGCTGCTGCAGCTTCTTGCTTGATGTTTTAAAAATTGTTTAAATTACAGAGTTTAAATGCAGTATAACATAAAATATATGAAGTACAAAAGCTTACACATCTGTTTCATACCCACTGAGCAGCCTGTTAAATGTTACACTGATGGATTTGTCATGCTTTATCTGGCATCTGTGTGTTCTGGGAAGCAGACCCCAGTCATTGCAATACATGGGTTTTGTCTGAAAACTTTGTCATGAAGATTCTTTCAGTCTTGAGACAAGGACTATGTATTGCCCAGAAAACAGCTTTTCTTTCAACAGTCCTCATAGAGGAATTGTAATTGCTAAAGATCTAAATGTTTTTTATAAGATAACCAGAGGTAATACTAAATGGGCAATGAATAACTAGAATGCCCTACAGTTTCAGGGAAATACTTATCCCCCAAGCACACTTTTTGTACACTTCCAGTTTTTAAGTAGCAGGTTTACTCTATAGTGTACATGGCCCCAAATAAACTGCTGTGACTGGACATGCTCTGAGCAGAAGGTTGGACCAGAAACCTCCAGGGGCCCCTTACAAGCCACATGACTGATTAATAGGAACAAATTGTCCTCTCCTCTCACTGCTAAATTCAATGAAATTAAACTACCATAGATAAAATGCATCTCAGAACCTCAGTTTGCAAAACACTTTTGAATCATTCTGGATGAAAACACACTACATGAATGCAAGCTGTCATGCTTGGATTTCTGTTTAAATAGGCAGCACTTATCTCAGTCTTTCCATTCATGGCACTGAGATCCTATATAATTCAACATTACATTGCTGGCTCGGGGGGAAAAGCTCAGTTACCAGTTTTCCTTGGTATTAAAGGCATAGACAGGTTGCATCTTTTGAAAGAAACTAACAGAACCTTTAACATGTGAATCAGAATAGAGAAGGTAATTTTGAAATCAATATGCCAGTTTTACATCCAGGGCAAAGTTGTTTCTGTAACTATTTGACTGAGGACCAGTGTGGTAATGGTCCAGAAGCAAGGTGAGTTTGGTCTGTAGACAGGCAGGGCACACAGCTTGCTTTGAATGTAGGATCAGAGCCCTGTGCCTGACGTTGAAGTGCTGAGCAGTGGGAAGGGTTGTCAGAGTACACTACAAACTGTAAGGGCGTGACTGGAGCGTGAAACTGAAAATAATTAAGGAAAATTAAGACCAGAGCTTAACAGCACTGCAAAACAGAGCCTTGCAGCCTCCTTCTTAGTGATGGCAAGTGAGGACACACTGGGCCATGAGCAAAGCATGACTTAAGAGATATCAGGCAATTAACTGATAATTTGAAGGAGGCAGACCTAGTCTGAGGCTTCTTTATTACACTCAAGTGATGCTTGTCACAGCCCAGTCATGAAACCTGAAGTGTGTTCCTTGAGTACCACACAATAGGTTAGGTACTTACCTCAAACACCTTAAGGACACGGGACAGTGGTGAAGTCTTGGCTCCCTTGAGCATGAAAAAGAGGTTCAGCATGGCTCTCCCATCCTTCTCCTCGAATACAATGGTCTCTGTGGACTCTGCAGCATCAGTGGCTGCAGCCGCAGCCTCTCTTTCCTTCCTGGCATCTTCAATGAGGCTCTGACGTCTCCCAATGAACCGTGGAGACTGAAGGCAGAACAGAAATAAATAACACTGCTCACAGAGGTGTAGGAGATCAGAGGCATTCCCACTACCTGGAGGAGATGTGACTGGTATGTGTCAGCAGAGGAAGCAGGGAAACTTGGACTGACTTGCCTGGCTTTGTAGAGAAAGATCTGCTCATGAGGACTGAGGTTTTGGAATTGAACTTTCGGAAATGCGGAGCTTTGGGGGGGAAAAAACCTATGTAAAATATCTTTTTAGCATAACTGGTGAGTGGGCTTCTCCTCTCACCACCCCCTCCCACCCCCCACCCAGCAACAGTTTTCAATATCCTCTGAAAAAAAACAAAACCCAGAAACAATCTTATGTGTTTTTCAGGTGTCTGATAAATTCAAGTGGAGAGACATCAGATAAACCTGAGGTCATCTGAGAAAATATACTTTGTGAGGGACTGGTGAAGCCCACAGCTGTGGCCTGGCCAGGAAACAGGAACTGTTTGCAGGTGTATTAGCAGGGCAGCTTAGCAAAACTGCTCCCAGGATTCAATATGACATTTACTTTTAACATTAAGTGGATGTTTATCCATTGAAGTGTAATTGAAACCACAACCATATACCCCAGAAAATAAATTCCTCCCACTTATCTGTAGATTTGTTTTGTCTCAACAAAATCCTGCAGATTTCTGTTACCTGGAATCGAACCCAAAATGCAACTCTGTGCCTGAGGTCATGTCAGGACACCTGATTATACTTATAGTAAACTACAAACTATTTCAATCACTGCTGTTTCTTTTGTTATACAAATAACTTATATACCAACTTGGTCTTTTTGCAACCTATTTTCTATTTAGAGGCAATGCATCTGGTTCCAGTTTTCTGTGTTCAAGACCCAAACCAGATGACAAACCTCCAGAGCTTGCTAAAAGAAACCTGGCACAGCACTGAAGAAGGACACAGACTGGGACTGGCTGCAGTTTTCCCTGTGATTACATTGAAAATATTTAGAACATGCTAACTAAGCCGTGCTTTCCCTACTTTGTGAAAATTAAGAGCGTTTTCCTTTTAACAGGACAGCCTGATTGACTATGAAGTTCATTTTCTCTCTGATTTTCAAAGCCCACTATCAGTAACTCATGTTTCTTGTGAGAATCCTCCTGGATGCTTTAGCAGTGTAAAGCTGACACTTTAAATGCAGCCTTAAAAACTCAGCACATCGAGGCACCAGCCCACACACCTCTATCTGGTCCTGTTTCAGTGAAGATACCCCTCCAAAACTGTATTTCCAGATCCACCCTTTATTCCTCAGGGCACAGAAAAACGCCTTCTAACAAATAAGTGCATGCTGCTGCTTGTCTGAATTGGTGGTATTCATGCCCAAAGAGAGCAGACATCTAACAGGTGACCTCAGTCATAACTTTAAAAATCTGGTGAGCATGTGCTTGGCTTTAAATGTGTGTTTTCCATCACTGCAGTGTTTTAAGCTAAGCTGGTGTTTACTTTAAAGTGCCTGCAATAAGCAGGGCAAAGTATGCCTGTGCCAGCCACAGAAAATGAGCTCCACAACCATCCCAAGCCAGGCACTGCTTTACCCAAGAGTGCTTTATACACACTGTGCCCCGAGGTGCAGCAGGATTTTACTTCTGGGCTGGGGAAAGGGAGAGGAGGGAAATTAGACCCTCATATTTAGGATGTAAACCAGGTTAAAATCCTGCTGGGTGGGGTTTAAAATGCGAGGGTTGGGTGACTGGAAAGCTGCACCAGGAGAAACAGACTCAACCAGTCCCACACGTGCTGGGGCTGGGTGGTCCCTGGCAGGGAGGAGTGGGGGCTTTGGTCCCTTCTAGGAGTCCTGGAAGTTTTGTAGCTGCACATAGAATAGTTTAAGTGGGTAGTTGGGAAAAAATATCAAAACAAAGCAAAAAAAGGCTGAACTTTTCTTGAGAGAAGAGGGTTGGGAGGGGTCTGCCTGCCTGCTGCCTCCTCTGCCAGCTGGAGGCTGCCTGGCTGCATGTTCCCCACCTCACTGTCCTCAATTCTGCCCCTCACATTTATGCTCATTGGGCTATTTTCTCCTTTTACTGGAAATTAGGAATGTAGCATATATAATAACAAAACTGATCTCATGATAAATGCTTTCCTTTCTTCCAAAGGCACCATTATATGATATTTCTGAATTGCCTTGCAGACTCCCTCCCTGAGTGCATATCTGGCTACAGTGAGAACTGTAATTTGACTTTGCAAAGCATTTATTTGCCTTACTCATTCACCTCTCCTGAAGGTTAGTTTGCACCTCTTATGAAGGGTTTGTTCATTTTTCCTTCCCCAAATTTGCTGCAAGTCAGAGTGCCCAGCCTGCATATTGTCATTAAAAGTACTCTGTTCTGAGCTGTTTTGTTGCTTTCTCCCCTCCAGCTCATTATTTGCAGCAATCAGGAACGATTGTAAAGACTGGGCACAATAATGTCCTACCCCTGTTTCCTGGGTGCTTTTTCCTGCTTTTTACTACACATTTTGGCTCCAGTGGCTGTCTCCTGCCTGGCTCTGTAACCAAACTCTGCCCCAGCTACAGTCCCAGGGTCTCTTGCAAAAACTATTAGCAGCAGAAAAACTTGATACATAACCAAAGATTTTTCCATGGAGTTTGATGTCTGGCTGGCCCAGCTGACATGTAAAATACCTGCTGGTGTAGAGGAGTTCTGGGATTGCAAAGGTCTGGATTTTCCCCCCAGTTTGCAGCTCCCCTGGCAAGGGAACACCTCAGAGCTGTCGGAGGTGATGTGATGGTGGGTGATGGCTGTGGGTCAGATCACCCACAGTCACGGTGACAACACGAGGGCCAGGGACATGCCATGTCATATACAAATGCACAGTCAAGCCTCTTGCCTGATAGAAGGCAGGGTTGTGGAGATCTCCTGTGCTAGGCAAGAGCAAAGAGAAAAGCTTTTCATACCTCCAACTCTCAGAGCGATCCTCACGGGGCAAAGTTTTAATTTCATTTGTTTTCCCTTTTCTGAAAATTTTCATTCAAAAACAATCACAGGCTAAGGTTTTATGTACCCTCCAGGCTGGATGAGCCACTCACCCCATGCAGCTTGCCTCACTCTTGTCAGCCCACTTGTTGAACATGAACTACCCTGGCCTCTATGTTCAGTGGCCCATTTTTTAATAAAACGCAGAGTAGCACCCCTGAGGGTGTGATAACCAAACACTCTTCACTTCTCCAGACACTGAGCATCTCAAATACTGATTTTACAAGTTGCCTGGAAAATATCAGGTTTTCAAGGGCCACTCGAGTGTTCATTATTTTGCAGAATGAAAAGGACTGAGCGAGAGGGAAGCCTTCCCTAATTTCCATTTCTTAGAGGAAGCAAGCTTACCTTCCTGTTTCCTAGACATTTCCTTTCTTTTCCAGCAAACTCCACTGCCCAAAACACCTTTCTGCCAATGTAGTGGTTGCTTTTAGTGAGGCAGAGCATTGCACAGGGTTAAGAGGAGAGTGGGTGAAAAAGGCTACAGGTATAAGGGAGAGAAACGGGGAGCTCTAAAAGTGATCTGCTGGAGTCACACTGCAGACATCTGCCAAACATATCTGCCACCTAACCCATCTTTATTTCTAAGGTCCCCTCCTGGTGCATCCATTGCCACTGCTCTGGCCCCTGCATTGTCACCTGCTGCCTATCCACATCTTTGCCCCACAGGAACGTCTTCAAGCTCATTTGGGAGTCTTCAAGCTCATCCTGCCCTGCAAGTCTTTGAAGTTAAGAGCTGAAATGTCCCTGTCCCTACAGCAAGTCTGATGGGTTGGCTAGGCTTGGCTTTCTAAAGACACTTGACACTCCTTTCCCTTCCCTTAAACATTCAGATCTGGTGTGTGCAGGAGGTTTCCCTGGGGTAAACACAGGGCTGAGGACACATCAAGGAGGACTGGGAACAGAAATGGGGGAAGGATGTTCTGGGAGATAAACTGGATACAACAGCCGTGAACAAACAAGTTAAACTGTCTGTGCCTTGTGTGCTGTCTGAAATGACAGCCCCACTTTTTTTATTATGCTAGAACAGGTGAAATCTCTGCAGTTTAATTAATGCCTTGAAACCTGGAAATCATTAAGATCTTCATATTGCCTTTCACAGGGGGATTCCTTGCTATTCTTGCTGTAGGTCTGTGGGTTATTCACCTTACTTTTGGTTGAGATGGTTTCATTATTTCAAGTTTTCACCCCCTTAAATGTCTTCATTACACATGTATCAGTATGTAGAGAGAAGTGTTGGAGAAATTTCCCTTTGCCAGCCTGGATCCCGGAGGTGCCCATGTCGGGGAAGTCCCACAAACAAAGTGTTGGTCCATCTATCTTTGCCTGCCTCTGCCTATAGCTATGGAAGAGGCTGTGGTTTTTGGAGGGGGAGGGAAAGAAGTGGGGTAGGGTTGTCTTACCATGATGGCCTCGGCTTGCTTGGAGTCCAGCTCCGACACCGCCCTGCGGAAGCCTTTGGCTGCAGAGGTGGAGATGTTCGGGGTTGGCATCTTTGCTCTTCCACGAGCTCTGCTGTCTGCTTTCCAGCTCCTTGCCAGCTTTTTATAGGGCAGGGCTGACGTCAAAGACTCTTTCAAATCTTCTCTTCCCCTGCCACCTCCCCATCACCACCTCCCTCCTTTCTCCCCCTCGGGCTGAGAGGAGGAGGGGATGTGAAGGAGAGAAACGTGTCTGTCCCATTAAATCTAATCGCTACAAAGATTGCAGACACCCTGCCTTCACAGACCAGACAATCCCCCACCTGTTTGCCTGCATTCAAAAGATTTCTTCTCTAATTTACCCCTTCTCTCCTTTCCCCCCTCCCCCCCACTTCTTGATGGAGTTCATTCTCATTGCATGTTTCAGTCCGGCACATTTGCTTCCCCAGCCTGGGAGTTGCATGAAAGGATTTTGATCTGTGAAAGGATGAAATGAAAGGAAAGGAGAGATTTAGCCCTCTCCAGCCTTTTTCCCCCCATTGTTTGCCTTGTCATGGAGGCAGTAAAGTAATAGGAAAATAACACTGATTCCCGCAAGGCAGCTGCAGGACTGGATGCCGTTTTCATGTGTGCACCTCCCGGCGCCCGGCTACTGACAACGCTGTGCCTTCCAGGGCTCCCCCATCACCTCAGACCTTGATTTGGCCATGTCACTCTGACAGCAGGAGGGCAGAATCTGACTCCTCAGAAATGAAAAGAGGCTTTAGAGGAAACAACCTGGAAAAAGAAAAACCCTGGCACTCCTGACTTCCTAAGTGCTTTGATCATTTTGCAGAAATTCCTAAGGGACCAAATGCTTGAGTACAGCTGGGGCTGACAGTGTGTGACAGGTCAGACCTATGCCAGGGTTGCTGCTTTGTTGTAAAACTGGCATTTTTCTCTGCTTAGATTTGCAGCTGTCCCACCCAAACAAGTGCTGCAGGAATGCATGACCGTGCTTTGTGTGAGCCACCACCATCCTGGTGACAGGCCACTGACTGGCACAAATCCCTGTGGTGGGGAAGCTGCTGGCCTTTCACCAGCTGACTGCCCAAGAGCTCACCTGCAACCTTGCTGACCACAGCATTGACATCTGGTAGGGTTATTGGCTCATCCTGCACTCAGCAGCACAGCTGAGTTCGTCCCAGCCTGCTGATAACTTCTTCAGTGCCAAAAGCTCTCGAAGACCAACAGTCCATTGACATCTTTAGGATGGAAAGCTGTTGATGTTTACCAAACACCAGGGAGCAGGCAGCATGACCAACACTCCCGACCCCACCAAGGCAGCTTGGGAAGCTCACTGGTGGAAGTTGAAGCTGAACTAAAGCAGTTAGCAGCAGCTAAAGATTGGTGCAGTAGTGAGAAAATATTGATTTAAAGTCATGTGGAGTATCTTCTCCTATTGCAGATGCTGAGGACACTTGGGTGTTCAGTGCAGTAAAAACCAGAGGAAGGAGTTAAGCAGCCATCGTGGCTCATCTATCCCCAGCCTCTGTGTCCTCACGTGTGGTATCACCTCACACACCGAGAACAGCTCTCACTTTTGCTTTAATTTTATCCCTAATCCCCTCTGAGTCTCCTGAACTGTCTATTTGCTCTCTGCTAAACCCTGGATGCTCAAAACACAAGAAAAAACCCCACCAAAACCAGTGGAGGGTAATGCTGCAGGTGTTGCAAGGTTTTCTCAGGAAATATTTTGGGAGCAGGTTCCAAGGCGCTCCACTGCCCAGAAGGCAGTCAAGGAGCAGCAGTGCAGGCTCAGTCACCTCCTGTCTGCTGGGGGGGCTTTGAGGATCCTCTTACTGGGGATACAAATTAGCAGAATGCTATGGTTCATTTATTGTTGTGTCCCTGGCTGAGGTGAACCATGGCTGCTGGACAGGCTGGGATGCCAGGAACAGAGCACTGAAGACTGTAAGGAATAAAAGACCCCACTCCAAAAGAGGCCACAAAAATAACACTCGTGTATCTTTCATGGGAGGCACCAGTGAAGAGACCTCAGTGGGGATTCTGTAACACAATTAATGCCAGTAAAGTTGACATAGAAAGAGGGAAAGGGGCACGGCTCTTCCTCATAATCTAGGATAAAGCTGCGAAGGTATTAAGGATGAAAAGCCATAGTTGTGCTAGGTACTCCAGAAATGTTTTGTTAAATCAATTGAGAGACTTTGCTAGTGTAATACCTGTTTAAAAGAAGCATTGTCAGTGAAGGGTATTGCCAAGACTGGGCCAGCTTCAGTGGGATTTCATTTGGAAAGGAAATAGGGACTTGGGTAGGAGGAGATTTACAAGAATTGCATTTGAATGTATTTACCAGTTAACTGTGGCTGAATTATTCTGGCTTGCACTACCTTTAAAACAGCATGTAGAATGTGGGATTACAACATTTTTAATTTGAGGTTTTCAGTTAAATTTAAGAACAAAGATAAAATTGAAATGAATTGATTAATTTAATCCTTTTTCCTTCATGCTGTTTCTTACCTTAAAGTCAGAAAGAGAAATCATTTTGCTAGACCTATTAGTTTTGGAAACTGATTTAGTTTAAAGGTCTCTTTAGAGACATATTTGCCAGTGATGATAAACCTAAAATCAGCCATCACAGCAAGTTCCAGTTATCCAAATCTGTAATAAATTTGCTAAGAGGATAGCCTTGAAATGTCAGCTCATGTAAAGAATTGAGAAAATTGGCAAAATAATAAATATGGGAACAGAACAAGCCACTCAGCCTTCCTGCAGGCTTTAACCTATTCAGAGATCACATATTAAAGCTCTTCTGACAAGCAGAGGCTTTAAAATGTGCTGATAACATCAGACAAGTTCTCAAGATTATTGTATGACTAGATGGAATTTCTCTGAATATATTTTCTATTTTCCTTTTGTGTCGTTTCATGTTGTTACTTCTCTTGTGAAATTCAGTACTTCATTCAAGATCATCAGTCCTTCTACTTAGTTATCTCGTCCAAAAGCCCTTGAATTTTATTCCTTTGTCTTCCTACTGTTGGTACATTAGGCATACAACTCTCTTCTTCTTTAAACCCTGCTAATCTGCTCGCCCCATCCCTGTCTGGTGATGAGAGTTCTCCATCGCATGGAAATGGTTCACAGCATGGAGCCAAAGTTCTGCTTTCCATGCAACCAAGGGCAAAACGTCCAGATTGCCATGAGGGGGTTCCCATGGTAAGAATTTCACTCTCTGATAAGAGTGAAAAATCAGGTGGGTTCCCCTCTCCTGGAGAAGCTGACAGAGAAGGGAAGCTGGGAGAAACCATGTGGCAGCAGGTCCTCCCTTTGGGCAGCAAGGTGGGTGGATGTCCTTCAGAGCAATTATCAGCACAGCTGCAAAAGGACAGGCATTACTTTTTCCTACACAGTCCAGTGCAAAGCTGTTCAACACATTTCCCACCTGTGTCCTTCACAGGCAAATTCCCATCTCTTTGGAAACCAGCCACATCTTAGAATTTTTCATCTCTTCATGTGTCTACATATCTCTAAACCACACGCCTGGGTCTCTGTTTAAGTTCTGCTGATATCAGACATGACTTTTAGGGGGGTGTAAGCCTAATTGATTAAACTAAGGCAGGTTTGTCTCAGCTTTTGTCATGTCTGACTAATGACCAGATTTGCTAACAGGGAAAAGGAGCCTTTAGGAAGCACTACAAAGGGAATATAACAGATGAATGGGTCTCCATCACTGCTTTGTTTCTCATATTCCAACCCCATGACTATCCTTGAATGTGTGTGGGTGCCATGTGTATCCAGCTGTGTGTTTTAAGGGATTAATCTGACATAAAGCAGCCATGGCAAATATGGCTGGCCACTGTTTCTCTGCGTTGGTCCCCAGAGAGAGAAGTCCATAAACTGGGATGGTCTGACTGTGCTTCACTCAAGGGTGAAGCAGACCCAAAAACAATCCAGGAAAGGCATTAAGGTGCAAAGTACCGCTGGTCCTGTGGAGGCTCATTTCCCTGCCACTGGATGTGGGATTGGTGGTGCAGAGATAGAAACAAGACATTAATATCTGTGGCTGGACTGCAGCAGGCAAGGCACTACTATAAGCATAACTATGATGACAGTCAATATATACAAGCCTATCTTTAAAATCTCTTTCCACCACGGTTCAAGGCTCAATTTATCGAGTAGATCACCCAACCATGTCCCATCATCAAGCATTGTTTACAATAATCTCCATTTCTGGGCACCTCGGGAATGGGGACCAAGGGGGAACCCCACCTGCCAAACATCCCCCCCTAATTGTGGGGAGCTGCAGTGATCTCCACAAACCAACCTGTTGTCTTGAAGCAAGCCCCAGGGAGAACCAGTGGCAAAGGCACTGGGCAAGAGTGGGGGGGTCTCTCTGGTGGGCCAGGGAGCTGCAGGGACAGGGTTTGTGCTGTGCCAATCCCCCAGCAAGGCCCAAAGAAAGGGCCAGTGTACTCTGATGTGAGGGAGAGCTGCCACCTCCCATCACAACCCTGCTAGCCATGAGGGGTGCCCAGGCACCCTCGCTGCTCTTTCTTCCACCCACCCGTTCTTTCCCCCTCTCCCCCTCCACAGCATGAATAATTACAGTCTGCCATAATTTTGAAGCAATTATAGGGGGGTGAGCCAGCTCCATCAAGAGATGTTTTTTCCTCTTCTCCCTTCACAGCTCCATTCAACATCCCCAAGTGCCACAAAGGAGTTTAATAACCCATAATGACACCTCAGGCCTTCGCATCATTGCATCCTCCCTAAGACTGGGCCAGCATCAGGAGGGAAAAAAAAAAATAAAAGAGATAATTAAAATGCTCACCTCCCTCTTAACTTCACAGCCTCCTATTATCTGGAAAATGTGGACTTTTGTGCTCAGGCTGTCTGACGACAGATGAGCCCTGGGGAAGGGGGGCTGCAAGCAGCAGAGCTGTGCTGACTCTCCAGTCAGGGCAGCGAGATGCTTTGTGCCACCCTGGGAGAAAAGCTCTGCCATCCCCTCCACTGCAGAGGCAACCTCTGGGACATGAAGGGTCTCTGTGCAGGGGTTGTCCTTCCAAGGCAAAATCAAAACAGCCAATTATGTAAAAAAAAAAAAAAA